GGGGGGGGGGGGGGGAGTGACGTCCAGCATTTATCTTAACACCTGTTAACCATATTGTACTCCTGCTTCACAGACTGTTAAATGAAGTGCATCTTATACGTTACACACGTGTACGAGGAAAATGCATCCAGTGTATCCACTCTGGAAAAGAAGTGTTTTCGGTCTACCCCAGAATCCATGGGCATGTCTGACGCCTGCAAACTATCCTTATCCTCACTTAATTCCAGTCTGGCTCCCCCACCCCCTTCCTATATCAGCCGTAGCAACTCTGAAGCAATACATGCTTTTGTTTCCAGGCTGGTGTAACTTAAGCGATCTTTGTGAAGCTGCCAAGTAGTTAGTATTACAACATTGTTCCTGTCAGTCTCAGCAGTGGGTTTTATTAATTTCCCCTCAGAGTTCTTGCCGCCTATTTGGATGTATGTGTAAGTTTAATTTAAATTGAATAAATTGTTCCTTTCATACATTTGTTAGCGTTAAATGCCCTAAAATCAGCTGTTTACATTAAAGCCTAATTGAATTTACTCTGTGTTATTTACTCTTTCTGTATACTACATCAGGTTCATAAAGAGGCCTGTTCAGATTTCAGTCTGTCGCAGGTAGTCATGTTCACGTTTCTCGGTTAGTCCTCAGTTATTGCAAAATCATTCCTGTCAGAAAAAGCCTGTTCTGCTTACCTGAAGATGCATGTCGGGGAGGGGGTGGCGACTTTGGATGAAACGATGTCCACGGAGACGTAAAAAGTTCGAAATCACCTCAGCTATTCGAATCCGGTGCCGGCTTTCATTTGCAGGATCAGCAGCTGCTATTTCACGTCGCTTGTTCGGGGGCGGCGACGGTGCGGGATCCACAGTTCTCCATCGTCTCTGCTAATTGAAATTGACGCGTTGTTTAGACCGGATGTTTGTCACACATGCAGTTTAAATCGTGCTACAGATAAACAAAAAGACTGCATGAAACAGTACTCGTGAGTTACTCTATATAAATCAGCGTCGTTTTAAAAGAGCTGAACCTGTTGTCATGGAAACTCCAGATAATTAAATTGGTTTAAAAAATTAAATTTAGCGCAATCAGCGTTTTGATTTGTAAAGAGCGTGTATGAAATGTTAAAGATGTACTGCTCACCCGGGTTTCATAAACAGCAAACATTGAACATTACATTTTTATTGCATCGCCACCTGTAGTTAGACTTGCCTGTGGCTTTCTTGTGGTCACCAACCTTTTGAAACTGAGCTACTTCACGGGTACTTAGCCATACGAAGGGCTACCAGTTTGATACACTCTTCTTAAATAACAAATTTGCTCGGTTTACCTTTAGAGTTATATATTATTAATGATTAATGATACTCATCTATGTGAAGACACTGATCATGTTCATGATTTTATTAAACTTCGTGTATAATAAACATGTTTTAAATGTTTTTTTTAAAAGATATTTTGAAATCTATATAAATACAAATGCGATTAAAGAAGAATAGAAACAGGATAAAATTAAATTTTAGACGCTGCTCCCTGGTGAGTTGTGCTATTTTTAGAACAAGTCCGCGGGCGACTCATGTGGTCCTTGGGGGAATCCTGGTGCTCGCAGGCACCATATTGGTAACCCCTGGTCTAAAAGGATCTGATTCCAGATTTCACTGTAAAACAGGACTAATATAAATCTTACAGAAATTGTGTCCATTATATCATATTATTGAGCATATTTGGAGAAACCCATCAATGCTAACCCTAACTACGATCAATAAAATGAGGTTATACATACGGTGTCAGGACAGATGTGCCTGGTTCATCATGGCTTTCAATTCGTCATGCACACACATGCCTTTGGGGGCATTCTGCTGAGAGGGTCTCACCTCGCGACCACCGCGAAAAGTCATCTGTGTTCTCAGCAGGAGCGTGACTGACAGTCACAGCGCCCCTCTGTGGCCTGGAGGAGACGCATCGCCTTGTACACAGGTGAGAATAATGTGTCGCATAAGCGCGAGTAGCTAAGAAGGTGGAGTTTTGGTGGCCTTGGTGTCATCTGTCTGTGGCTTAAAATTACTATAAACGGAGTGATTTTTTTCCCCTCATCTACATGGAATAAACGGACTGAGGTCTATCACCAATCCAACTGGAGTTTATCAAAGGCTTGGAAAAGAACCCTTTAATTACACCTTGATGTGAACAAGCCCAAAACTGTGTGATAAATCTGTCCAGAGGATCTTTAGACTGAGCCTCGAGCAAGACTGCCAGCTACTGTACAGTATTCAGCTGAGTGGCAGATTTGTCCAGCAGATCGTTATGACAACATCTATTTTTACACAGTTCATGTTTTTGAAGTGCATTATAAAGTACTCTGTCAGCTTAATTTTTCCGGCAGTTGTTCATCTTTATTCTATTTTAAGTTTGAGGATATAAAAATTAATTTTTAATGTTTTGAAGTGCATTTCAGTGCAGCGTGAGGGTTTTAAAAAAATGTTTAAAAACTTTGTGAAGGTGAACAAAGTCATTGTCAGACATGCTGAGTTGCACACAGCCCTCCTTGAATACTAAACCGTTTGCATGTTGTTTAATTGAACCATTGCCTGTTTTACTTTCTGAGATTACACTGGTCTGTTGTTCAGTTTCTCTATGATGAATTGCTTTTGTAAAGTCTAATCTTATACCTTCTAGGGAAAAAAAGAAATGGTGTGGGCATATCTGACACTTCCGGTCAAGGGTGATTCATTTCTTCCCCTCTCAAGTCCCTGGCTTAGACGCCCCTTTTTCCCAGCTGTACGGACTGTTCCCTGGCCCCCATTTTCAGAAGCAGGGGTGTGGAGCGGCAGTTTGCTGCCGGGTGATTGGCCTGCTATGTCACGATCTCATTAGTATGCGCTCTGATGCTCTATGTGTCATTTGCACAAGTACAGGTACATTGGAATACTCCTTTGAGACATACACCAACAAATAGAGCTGAGAGCGAAGGTTGGGGTCTGAATCCAGGGTGGGGCTATTTATCTGACACCCCCGGAACATTTTAGGGGAGGTTAAGAGTGTTGCTTAAGGGCCCAACGGAGATTATTCTGCCTATTTTGGCAAGCACATGATTCAAATTTGGAAGGTTCTGATGACAAGCACAGAGTCACTGAAGTCTCCTGACGATTGCCTAATTTGGAAAGCGGGTGGGGGGGGTGCACCCACCAGTGCCGACACTCAGCAGGTCTGCCGGGACACTGTCCTGCTGAGATCACATGGCTACGGTACGCTGAGCTGTAAGCTGACCTGAACTTTAATATGATCTACACAGCATCACTTGTGTTCAGCGAAGTGGATTTCCTGTGCTTATGACCGAGCTGTTACTAAAAAATGAAATTATTATGGGATTGTTTTCTGAGGCTGCTCATTTCCTTTAATAAAAGTCCCGTGAGATGGTTGATGGCCACACAGCTGTCACGTGTGCTAGTACTGCATCCCCATTACGGGCCTTTCTCTTTTTGGCTTCTGACAAACATATCAAATGCAGCCCTTCCGGGTGCTGAAAATGGTCAAATGTTACTCTGATCATCCGCGGACACAAGCCGTACCGGCCTCTGGATCACGCAGAGCTTTGGTTTGGGTTCCAGGCTGAAACGTCGGCAAGTTAAACAGCACAGTGACGCTCTGATTTCATTATTTATAGGACGTCGTTCCGCTCGATGCCCGGTAGATGAAATGCACGCCGGGTCTGAAAATGAAATAACTGATCGCTGCAGCTTTGCGCCAGTCAGATCAAATCAGCGACTTCGCCGATGAGACGTTCTGTACCCCGTCGCACCGCACAGACATGGCTCCGCATGGCTGCTTTTACGAAGTGGAGTCCGGCCGCCCGCAATGGGAGGGGGCCGCCGCAACATTAGCATGCTGGAAACCGCTGCGTCTGGCTTAACCCGTGATGCGTCAAGTATAGATGCAGCTGCTATTTATCTCTTGAAAATTAAACGCATTCCTTTTGGGGCCGTTCTTATTAATTGCAGTTCCATATTAAGATATCTGGGATTTGCTGCTGATTCTTAAAATGATTATTTTGTTAACGTTATATCACAACGACTGTCAAGTATATCAGTTGTACAGAGAGCTGTAATTAATAATAAGTGTACCCCCACGCTTTTGTATTGTACTGACTTTGAGCTTTAACTGACTTTGTCACAAGGCACATCATGTCCCAGGAAAAGTTATGCAGTTCGTTATTTTTAATTTATTGCATTTATTATTTTTAAAATAATGAATAGACTTATAACCCTAATGTAGACGATTTAAACGTAGCAAAAAAACAAGGGGGTATTTTTCAGTTTTGGTCCTTGGAAAATCGTCTGATGTGCTTGATAAGGACTAAGTCTTAAAGTGTAATAGTAGAATGTACCTTTACATTAAGTTTAATATGGAGGGAGGCTGTTTAATGTGGTACAGGTACAGAAACAGATTAGAAAAGGTGAATCAATCAAAATATAAAATTATTGGTCAAAAATTATTAGTCACATTTCTACATAATGAAGGCATAGGACCTCTATTAATAGTTAGGCTTATATATGAAAAAATTTTACCAATGCAAAGATGTTAGAAATGGTGCAACCTGAATTCATCTGTAATTATATCCAGTGCACATTTTCTTAATTGGGACAATTGCATTGCAAAATTTATACCGGTGCACCGATGCCAATTTTACCATCCCTTAAAGGCATTGATAAGTGATGAAGATGAACTGTTAAAAAATGACAAAGTGCAGGACTGAATGCCTGTTCAT